ATATATATATAAAATCAGATATGTTGGTAAATGCACAAAATATTTCTGGAAGATACACAAGAGCCCTGGCAGATGTGGCTCAGTGGATTGAGTACCAGCTTGCGAACTGAAAGGTGCCCAGTTCAATTCCCAGTCAGGGCACAGGCCTGGGTTGTGAGCCAGGCGCACAGTTGGAGGCACACAAGAGGCAACCAATCAATGTATCTTTCACACATCCATGTTTCTCTCCCGCTCTCTCTCCCTCCCTTCCCTCCTCTCTAAAAGAATAAATAAATGAAATCTTTAAAAATATTTTTTTAAAAAGAAGATACACAAGAAACTGGTCCCCAAGTTTGCCTTTGGGGAAAAGACCGGATGACTGGAAGGGAAAGAAAGAAGGAAGACTGTTCTCTTTCAAGAACAAAGAAGGTATATGTATTACTTGTTCCAAAAAATGAATACAAACAAAAGAACAGTACTTGGGTACTTGAAGAGAATAAAACTACATTTCTTTAAATGAAGGAAAGAGAAGGAAAGAAAGGAGGGAGAGAGGAGGAGGCAGGAAGGGAAGAAAGTAGAAAAGGGCAAGGCTGGACTTCTGCCACTTCCCCTCTGTCCAGCTTCTGCTTTGTGTCAGCGCTATGGCTCACTTTCAGACAAAGGCCCACTTGCAAGGGGGCTCACAGACTTCCCTGTGAGAAGGACATACTGCCCATTCCTTGTGCTGACTGTACCCACCCGGCTCCAAATAGGTGCCACCCAAATATTTACTGCGGGAATAATTGATCAGTGGATTGCTGCTTTATCCACGTTCATTCCCTCACAACATTAGGGCGGAAATGTGGTTTTGTTCTTATGTTTGGGAAAGCTTTCTAAACTTTGGTTTAAAAGTTGTCGTTTCAAGGCCCTGGTTGGGTAGCTCTGTTGGTTAGAGCGTCGTCCTGATACATCACGGTTGCAGATCCAATCCCTTGTCGGAGCACGTACGGGAAACAGCCAATGAACGCAGAAATAAGTGGAACAACAAATCATTGTTTCTCTCTCTCTCCCCCTCTCCCTGCAAGATTAATGGAGGAAAAAAAGGAGAAAACTTTATATGCATTTGGTATCATGGGCTTTTAGTACAAGTGACACCATTTTGGGCCTGCGGTTTTCTCTTTAACATCTGAGACAAGGATGTTGGGTGCAGGTGGATTATTTGAGAGGGGACCCCAGGAATCACAAGTAAAAGACTGGGGAAAGTGAGCCAAGCAGAGGGAAGCCAATAAAGGATGAGTTTATGAGCTGATTACCACTGTGGGCAACTGGGTTTAATCTCACTGGAGATCACCTGAAAGGATGAGAAAACAGCTTGAAAATTGGCCCACAGGAGGAAATGGGACATTTATCCACCAACTCCATCCCCTGTTGGTAACCACCTCCCCAACCTCAATACCGGTTGTGCCCCTCCCCCTGCCAGGTGCTTAGACTGAGAGAGGCAGGCCTTGAGGTAGCCTGGCTACCACAGCAGCAGGGGAGCTCAGCGGGGCTCAGGGGACACCGGTGGGCCACCAACAGTATCTGCAGCATTTAGCATAACACTTTGACACAGAATGGTAAATTTGTGTCTATTCTTTCCCTTTCTGCCCTGTAGTTTTCATCTCTGCATCCCAACTTCAAGCAATATATTCACACACGTTTTATGCTCAAAAACTGCTTACTAAATGGATGAATGGATAAATGAATAAATGAATGAACAAGCTTGGAGTTCACGTTACTGGGTACTGGGGGAGAAGACTGATTTTTGCCATTCCAGAAGCTAATTACAGCGGCTTTGGATGCCAGAATGATTTGTCTACTCTGACAATTTGAGGGAACAACTTTCACACACAAAAACTGGCAGGAAACACAAGAGTTTCAAGTTATAAAAAAATGTCAAAACAACTTGGTAAATGACACTGTTCCATATCTACATTGTATCACAGAGATGAATATATCACATGAAAAACATTTGTCATTTCTGTAGTTCTCATGCCATCCGTGAGCCTCAGGACGAGAGGTTCCCACTATTCCTTCCTTTACCAGGGGCTTGAAAATCCATCCCCAAATGTCCTCTTGAGTCCAAATAGAGGGGTTATTTCTTTTTAGTTTTTTTTTCAGTCTAAGCGTTATTGAAAGTAACAACCAAGCAAAAAACTAAAATTACCCCAAACAGGAAGAACAAGAAGCAACAAGTCGTGTGGAAATCGAGGGTTGTGTTTACAGCCACTGCCACCCTGCCATCCTCACCTAATTGCCTGGCACACCCTCCTGGCCCAGTTCAGGGATCTGGACCAGGCAGGCCTGGCCATGCAAGTGGCCTGCCCACCGCCCTTGGGCACTCCCACAGCCTCTGCCACGCTGACACCAGGATTGGGCCACCCTGCCCAGGTTACCAGGAAAGTGGAAGGGAACTGAGGTGCCCCCATGCCTTCTGTCCAGGAGCCAGGATCTGGGCTCTCCGCTGACAGGGAGTGCTCCCCTGGGCTATTGAAGGCCTTGACTTACCTGTCCCACCTACGACAGATGTGGCCTCAGCAGGGACTCAACAAATAAGGGCCTGGGTGGCCTCCAGAATTGAGACCTGCTTTCCTGTCAGCTTGAGATCCAACAGAAGTGTTCCAGTTCCCTCAGAAAAGGGCACATTCAAGGCCCAGAGAATTCAGCTTCCCCAGCCTGAAAGGCAAGGAGAGCACAGTGCTCAGAGGCAAAGAACACAGCTCTTTGTCCTGGGATTAGCCTAACTCGGCCTCCAAGTGCAATGGGCGTACACCAAACGCTTATGGAACTGAACATCAGTATTGAAGCTCTGGCCTCTCCCCACCCCCGCCACCCACTTTTCTGAGAAGCACTTTTCCTGTTACACTTCCGGTCTCTTCTCTGATTCTGTCCTAAGTCTATTCTTTGGCTGGTGGTGCTCCCAGGCTTCTGACCTAGTCTTCCTTAATTCAAAGGTCTCCCCTCCCTGTTCATCAATGAACTCATCAAGCTTGGCTTAAAGGATCATTTTTAAGCAGTAGTTCACCTGTGTACCACTCTCAATACATTTTCCAGGGCTGAACTTTCTAGGGGCTCAATAGATGTTTACTCTTAAATTTCTACCTGTAGCCTGACTCACTCTTCTTGGCTTAAATCCAGCCAGAACAGAACTTTCTGTCCAGGCCATGAATCACTGGAGGACTGTCTTGGATGGTTACACTCCTGTCCGCTCTATGGCAACATGCTGTAACCCTAAGACATGCTCATGTGATCCCTAAGTGTGGGGGGGAGGGGAGGCAGTGTGGCACACACTCCTCTCAGAGTCCCAAATGTGAATTGAACCAAAAGGCCTCCTGCTTGTGGCTTCCCTTTCAACTTTTCCAACTTTCCACCCTTTCTCTGGCCATAGGTCCAGAAAAGTAATCTTAGGACCCACTTTTATGCCTCTTCTTGCCCTGCCTCCATGTTTCTGCCTACAGTTCCTTGGGAGTGGAGGGACAGACATTGGGCTTTTCACTTCCTCTAGGTCAAAGCAACAAGAGCTGCAGCCTGACCAATGTTGATGAAAGAAGTATCCTCTCTCCATCATGGAAGAACTATTGTGACTTGAATTCTCCAGGATTAATTATTATTATTATTATTATTATTATTGCGGTATAATTGACATATAACATTATATTAGTTTCAGGTATACAACATCATGATTCAATATTTGTATATATTGTGAAATGATCACCATAATAAATCTAGTTAACATCCATAACTATACATAGTTACAATTTTTTTTCTCCTAATGAGAAATTTTAAGAGTTACTCTCTTAGCAACTCTCAAATATGCGATACAGTATTATTAACTACAGTCACCATGCTGCACATTACATCGAAGGATTTATTTACTTTGTAACTGAAAGTTTGTATGTTCTAACACCCTTCGCCCATTTCTCTTACCCTCCTCCACCCTCTGACTCTAGCAACCACCAATTCAGTTCTCTGTATTTATGAACTTAGTTTTATGGCAGGGTTTTTATTTCTTCCCCTCCCACCCTCTTTTTTAGATTCCACATGTAATGAGATCATATGGTATTTGTCTTTCTACATCTGTCTTTTTTCACTTAACAGAATGCTCTCTGGGTCCATCCATGTTGTTGCGCAAATGGCAAAATTTCATTCTTCTTTATGGCTGAATAATATTCCATCGTGTATCTCTGTGTGTATGTATTTCAACTTTTTTTATCCATTCTCCCTTTAGCAGATACCTAGGTTCCATATCTTGGGTATTGTGAATAATGCTGCAACAAACATAGGTCTGCATATATTTTGGGGGGGGTACCAAATTACTTTATTTGAAGGAATGGTACAAATGAGAGACATACATGGATGATTTGGTGCAAATTATAGAAAAGGTGGTCACTTTGACAAGCGCGTACTGCTCTGGTGACCTGGAAAGTGCCCCGTGGCTGTGGGAAGGGACCATGAGGCTGAGCTCTCTGTACTGTCTCCCAGAGCATGCTTGTCAAAGGGATCCACTGCCATGTCAGACTCAGGGGCCCCCCGCCTGCGCAAGCTGGTTACGTGGGCACCCAATTCTTTGATGGATTTCATCTGCTCACCCAGGTACTTAGTCTCAATGAAGTCATACAAATGAGGGTCATTTTTTTCAATGGCCAGTTTGGGAGAGTCCAGCAGTGACTTCACATTTTTTTCCCAAGTGCAATGCACACTCCATTGCATTCAGCCCATTCTCCCAGCCATCACGGTCTGGTGTCTTGATAGCCCGAAGGAAGATTTGGCCACCTCATTGGTTCTGCAACTTCATCAGTTTCTCAACGTGTTCCCTCTCCTCATGAGATTGGTGAAGAAAATATTTGGCCAAGTTCTTCAAAGCCACATCTCCACTGTCAAAGCAGTAAGACATGGACAGGTTGACATAGGAAGCATAGAGCTCCAGGTTGATCTGGTGGTTGATGGCGGCCTCAGAGTCCTGGTGGTAGTTCCGGCGCACCTGCGAGGTGGACACGGTCGTCATGATGAGCAGGTGAGGCTAGATGGCTTTGCGGGGCCGGAGCAGTGGACGGGGGGCGGTCAGGGGGGAGGTTGGGGTAGTTCCAGGGCACTGTGAGGAGGTGGCAGGATGGATCTGGGTGGCTGGCTGGGATGGGGGTCACACATGGGGTTCTGTTCAAGCACTGTTGAAGCAGGAAACTACAGCGACTTTTGGCGAAGACTTTGCATATATCTTTTTAAAGCGGTATTTTTGTTTTCTTCAGATAAATGACCAGAAGTGGAATTGCTGAATAAAAGATAATTTTATTTTAAAAACTTTAGGAACCTTCATCCTGTTTTCCACAGTGGCTGCATCAATCTACCATCTCACCACCAGTGCACAATGGTTTCCTTTTTTCGTCATCCTTGCCAACACTTGTTATTTCTTGTGTTATTGATAATAGCCACTCTAACAGGTGTGAAGTGATAGTTACCTCATTATGGTTTTCATTTACATTTCCCTAAAGGTTAGTGATGTTAAGCATTTTTTTTTCATGAACCTGTTGCCATCTGTATGTCTTTGGGAAAATGTGTATTCAGATCCTTTGCCTATTTTTAAATCAAATTCTTTGTTTTTGTTTTTTGCTACTTTAATTGTATGAGTTCCTTGAACCTTTTGGATATTAGGCCCTTATCAGATATATGATTTGTGTGGACAAAGAAAGGGTCACCCTCTAAACCTGACAAGCTCAGGGGAAGCCTGCATGGTGGCCCTATAAACTCAGACACCGAAAGTAACCACATAGCATGGTCTGAAATTAAAACTTCCCAACTAGTTCAAGGTGGTCATGTCCTAGGGTGGTATTTTTCCCTAAATAAGGTCAATCTTCACCTTAACCCAATCTATCTGTTGTCTTTTGGCATCTAAGATAATATACTTGATACCATACCTTTGAAACATCAGAGAAATTTCTTTTCCCAGACCCCTCAAACCCAACCGCTAGGGCAGAGGCCACAGATCCCCTCGTTGTTATCATGTTAATTATTGCCTCTTAACTATCCTGTACCCGCCTGTGTAAAGGAAGTCTGTGTCTATCATTTTACTTTTGATCCAACCCCAGAGGTTTCCTCCCTTTGCTTTCTACCACCTTCCTAATCTATCACCATAGATTTTATGTAACCCCCTTTGGTCTTCCTCTCTGATTCTGATGTATAAAATAATGGGAAAACTGCCATTTTCCAGAGTACTTTGTCAATCCCTTGGGATTTTGCTCCCCAGCTACTGTTGTCAGTTTGACTCAAATAAACGAAAAATTCTTACAGGTTTGGATGTTTCTTGTGTTGAGATTTGAAGATATCTTCTCCCATTCAGGAGGTTGCCTTTTCATTTTGTCGGTGGTTTCCTTTGCTGTGCAGAAACTTTTTAGTTTGATGGAGTCCCTCTTGTTTATTTTGACTCAGGATTGCCTTCTAATTCACTCCAGAAATCTGGAAAAACCTTCCCTACTCCCAAGCAAATGGCACCTCACGCTGCTCAGAGAGAAGGCAGCCTGTAGAAAGGTAAGAGAAAACCTCTCTTGCATTCTTCAGTTCTTCGATGCTCCCTTTGTTTCACACAAATATTCTCAGTTGCTCATCATGACAACCTGTGGGGTAGTTACTATTATTTGAATTTTAACTGTTGGGAAGATTAAAACACAGAGAGGTAATGAAACAAACAAACAAACCACCCAGAGCGATAGAGTTGGGATTTAAACCAGGTCCTGGTCTTACCCCAGAAGCAGCCATGTTTCCTCCTTTCGTGCCCTCGATCATAATAGGCTTCTCTCTGATTCTTCTCTTTCCTTCATTTTCCATTAGCTAGTCTCATGCCAATTTCCGTTTGGAACTCTGACTTTGGTCGTTCCTCTCTTGTCCCTCAAGTCACTAATCCAGACCCTCGCAATTAGTACAGAGCAGAAAGAGTTCATCCACCCAGCACTTGCAGAGTGCTACCAGAGCCAACCACTAAACACTGAGAATTGCAATAAAGACAGATTGGCTCATGGGAAGCTAAGGCTCAAAAGCCCAATCTCCGTGGTCCAGGGTATAGGGGAGTGCAGAAGCGCTGGTGGTAGGTTTTAATTGGGGGACTTCAGAGCTTGGCCATTTATGGTAAAGGGTGTCATCACAGGATCTCTCTGGACAACAAATCTTCTGCTTCTGAAAGGGTTCTGGTGTTCAAGTTCCTGTTATGTCCTGGGGCTTTGGTGGGTGGGTAGGCGGGCAAGGCTTTGGTCTGGGTGCAGCTGGAGGTCGAAGTTCTCTCCTACGTGCAAGCGTCTGCTGCATGACTGGTGCTTTTGGTCTGCTGTCTCTGAAAAGCAACTCAGTATCTCATTAAGCAGTATAGGACCATTTTGAGCTGGTTCTGCAATTACACCATTTCAGTTCTCAGAGTTCCTGCCTGAGCTGCTCTGTCAGCCTTTTCCTGCCAGTCCTTGCTTACATTTTTACATAAATGTCCATCTATTTTTCCTAAAACTCTGCTGATTACTCTAATTGTCTTTGACTCCACATCCCTTGCCACAATGTATCCTGGTGTTTAGGGAGGACCCCAGCCCACTCCTCCAAACCTGTCTTCCCCAGCTTCCCCAGTTCCACCTTCCAAGTCACTATGAGCACTGCCCCAACCACCCTCAGCACCTGCCATGCTCATTCCCACCTCTGAGCCTTGGCCAGGCCCTTTCTCCTGCCAGGAATGTGTCCCTCCTGTCTGCATAATCCCGCCCATCCCCCAGGACTCAGCTCAGTTTCCCTGCCCCAGGCCACCTTGACTCATGCTCTCTCCCAAACATCTCATGTACTCTCCTCTAGGACCACACTGTTTGACCCAGAATTGTTCCCTAAGAGACTCCTGTGTTTCCCTAGGGTGACTGAGCTCCTCAGGGACAAAACTGATGTCATAAGCTTCCTTGCAAACAACTCCCCTCTAACCTTTAGGTACTTACTAAAAAGGCAGGTCCCCAGATCCCCTCACAGATTTGCTAAACCAAAATCTCTGAGGGAGGGCCTGGGCATATGTATTTGTAATAACAGCTGAACTGAGATATGATTCATATGCCATAAAATTCACCCTTTAAAAATGTACAAGTCCATGGTTTTTAGTATACTCATAGTTTTTCAACCATTACCACTAGCTAACTTTAGAACATTTTCATGACCCCAAAAGGAAATTCCATACCAATTAACAGTCACTGTCATTCCCCTCCTCCTCCAGCCCCTTGCAGAAATTAATCCACTTTCTGTCTCTATGGATTTGCCTATTCTGGATATTTCATATACGTGGAATCATATAACATGCGGTCCTGTGTGTCTGGCTTCTTCACTCAGCAGAATGTTTTCAAGGTGCATCCATGTCGTAGCATGTGTCAGTGCTTCATTTCTTTTAATTGCTGGATAATATTCCATTGTACATTGTAGAGATAAATCACATTTTGTTTGTCCATTCATGAATTGGTGAACATTTGGGCTGTTTCCATTTTTTGGCTGTTGTGAATAATGCTTCTGTGAACATTCACGAGCAAGATTTTATGTGGACGTATGTTCTCCCTTCTCTTGGGTAGATATTGTCTACATAAGAAATGTCCAACCCTACAAAGAATTTCTATGAGTTTACTTAAGCCACATTGATGACAGTTGCCGAGAAGCAACATCCCAATGGATTAAGAAAATGCTCCAGAGAATGGCAGTTTTATCATTTACTTGATTTGTTACAAGGAAAAGAGGAGGTGTAAGGAGAGTTACATGAAATTTATTGGTGGTAGATTACAAAGGTGGGAGAAAAAAAAAGTGGAGAAATCTCTGAGATTGGATAGAGTAAAATGAAGAGATAAATAATTCTTTTACTTTGGTGGGTATAGAATAGTTAACGATAAACATTTACAGCACATAGAGATGGTATTTGGGCAACAAGATAACAATGACGGGTTCTATGGTCTCATCCTCTGGTGGAAGATTGTGCCCTGAAGGGTCTGGAAAAAGGACATTACTCTGACATTCCAAAGGTATGTTTTCATAGACTCAAAAAGACAATAGACAGGCTCATTTGAGGTTAAGATTGACCTTTGTCAAGGAAGATACCAGCCTAGCACGTCACTATCCACCATGACGGCTTTTAGTTAGGAAAGACTATCCTGTGTGATTATTAGCGTCAGAGACATTAGGTCTCTGAGTTTGTAAGGCCTGCCCTGAGCTTGTCAGGTTTAGTATGCGTTAGGGTGGTCGGTGACATGGGCTGTGAAAGAATTCACAAAGAGAAGAAAGTGTAGAGAACAAAGTTTTTATTCACTCTCCAAGAGAGGAGAGGGGCGTGGTGTGGAGAGATGCACCAGTATTGAGGGGTGGGGGCTTTGAGCTTTTATTGGATTATAATTGGATTAAAAGGGGGGGGTTGATGTGGTGTGGCCCCTGGGCTGTAGGGGTGTTGTAATGCGAGACTGCAATTTCTTCTACTGTTATCTTCTGCCTGTGGCTGTAGGGAGCGGTTATTTCTTGCTTTCCAGTAATTTCCAGTCCTGGGGATATAAGCTCAGAGGAACAAAACTGCAGTCATGTTTAATAAGGTCATAGGCCTGCGAGGCAAATGGAGCCACAATAGCAAAAGGGGCTGGCTTTATCCTTTCAGTATGTGGCCCCTTTTTCGTCCACAATACCCAAGAGTAGATTTGCTAAATCATATGGTAACTCTAGGTTTAACAGGGATTTTTAAACATTTTATTTATTGTTTATTTCAGAGAGAGGGGAAGGGAGGGAGAGAGGGAGAGAAACACCAATCGGCTGCTTCTTATACACACCCTGACCGGGGACTGAACCTGGAACCCAGGCATGTGCCCAGGAATGAAACCGGTGACATTTTGCTTTGCAGAACAATGCCCAACCAACTGAGCCACAGTGATCTGGGCTCTGTTTAATGTTTTGAGGAACAGCCAAACTGTTATCCACGCAGCTACACCATTTAACAGTCTCACCAGCAATGTATGAGGGATCCAGTTTCTTCACATCCTTGACACATGTGTCTGCAACATGCTCTAGAGATGTGGCAAACTTTGAGCATTCCTGCCCTGAGTTCTGGAAGCCCTACTTGTTCACCATCTTGAGAATTGCCTGGGACTACTCAGAAGTGTTGGATGGCTCTGGATTGGATCACCTTCCACAGAGACCCCCAGCTTGGGGATGGTGGAAATGGCATGCCAACGCGTGTGAGCAACGCCAAGGAGTTCATCACAGCAGCCTGGGTGTGGAAATGAAAGGCCCCAGAAACTGACCTGTGACTTTTGTTGTCTGGTTCCTTGTCTCTCTGGAAAGACCTTTCAGGCTGAGGTATGGCTATAGTTGCACTCACAGCAAACTCACAGAGTTTTTTTTTCTCCCTAAATAACTTCCTGTCCAGAAGTGATTACAGTCCTGTTCCCCACCACCACCACACACATACTTTTACAACATGGTGAGGACGTGCTGAAATCAGAGGGTTAGAATTCATATCAAAGACAAACGTCTAGGATTTTGTTGTAAATCCAGGCCAGAAGCTGTGCATGTGGGCAGAAGCAGACAACTGTTACTCAGAAGCTCAGTTCTGGAGAACAAGAAGGGGGTTTTTTTGTTTGCTTTTTTCTTTTGAACCAAGCAAAACTTTAGTCTCTTGAGGCAGTGTATTTTCTTGCCTTGCCCTGCACAGGCTCCCTGTTGGGTAGGTCAGCATTGAGACCTGGTTTTTCTTTGTCACTGGGCTTGTCATAGTGTCCCAGAGAGGACTGAGCTAGGGTCATCGTATGTTAGTCAAAAAGCAAAAAAGAGAGAGTGACTGCTGTGCACAGGAATTGGGGGTTTGTTTCCTTTCCGCCATGTAAAGAACAGCAAATCCATGAAATGGGTTGACGTGGATATAGTTGCTGAGAATAAACAGCTGCTCATGACCTACTGTCATCACATGTCAGCCACGCAGACCTCTCCTCTTTTGCTTCCTGGAATTGTAGTCCTTGGCCGGGAGATGAGCAGATGGTGTGAATTCATCTGTGGCTTCGGAATCAAGGATTTTTGTTGTTGTTTAAATAAAAAAACTAATGAATTCCTCATGGGCTGCTGCCTGCGACTTTGCTAAATTTTGTCAGGCCCATGTATGTTTCTCATGTCACCTTCCCATCCAGATCTCAGTCATAAATAAGCCCATTGGAACCTCTGATCCTTTCTTTCCCAGAAATGGGATGAGTCACCCAACTCCTCAGCCTCCTACTCTCAGGAGCCAGTGAGAGTGTGGATACAGGGGACTCTGCCCTGAGGGAAAACCAGGGAGGCCTCTGCCCCCTGCCCGCCCTGCAGTCCTCTCGCTTTCCAGAGCACGGTTCCAGTCCTGGTAGGGGTGAGGGAGCTCTGCTCTGACTGGAAGAGTCAAGAGAACTCCTAAGAGGGCCAGGAACTTCCCAGAGCTCTGAGGACCAGTGAACAAGGCTGTCCTCACCCCAGTTGAGCCTACTGGGTTACCCCTGAAAAACAGGCCGTGTAGGTGCCCGAGCTATGTCCCTAGAGCCATGTCCTGGAAATAGTCTCTTTGAGAAAGAGCTTTGAACTGGAGAGAGAAATCCACAGGAAAGATCAGGGTGCACCTTCTATTTGCTCTAGCTTGCTTACGGTCAGCCCTCAAACCTCACCTAGCCCCAGGCCAGGACTGAGGGGGCAGTAAAAATTATACACCGAGTGCACCCACGCTGACCTCCTGGAAGCTTCGGCTTGAGCCAGTTCCAGGGTTCCTCCTTTGCAGCACCAAAAGTTTAGAGGTGCCTGCTCCTCGCGCAGACACCCTGCCCACCCAGTCTGACGGGTTGGGGCCACTCCCTCTCCAGGAGCAGTTTCTATCCTGGAACTAGCGTCACCGCACCTGGCACCGACAATCCTCAGACTCCAGGGCATTGTCCAGAATGTTGATGGTTGGGAAACGGCTCTGGAAACTAACCAGAGTCTTTTTTAAAAAAACAACCAAAAAACAAGAAATGGTACCTCTCACCTTGTCACACCAGCTCCTTGCCCAGCTATGTGGACGGGTGGTCGCAGGCTGATTTTCCAGGAAACCAACACATT